CTTTATTAAAAAATCAGAAAAATCAAACAAAAAATGTATACAAAAATATAAAACAAAAAACAGTCACTATAATAACTCATACTCAAATTATAGATTAGTGTTAGTGTAAAACAAGATTATAAAAAAACTAGGGCGCATATTATTACACATGTGCGTAGAAAATTCAAAATAAAACGCCTGTTAAAACACGTATTTAAAATTAGACGATTTAAGTGTATTATTAATATTTACATTAAAGATGTTATGTTTCTGCGATTTATCAAAACACTGGTCATTTCTTCGAAACAAAAATGATTATTAGTGATAGAGCAAGCATGTCAACAACCCAAAACCCAAACAAATCCTTATTTCAAGTCTTTGGGCCTCTAATAATAAATCACTTTCTCGCATGACCAGGAAAAGAATGAATTCGTATTAAGAAACTTGTGATCCAATTAAGCAACCTCAGCAGGAAAACCTCCTGCATCGTATAACAAGTTGCATAACAATTGTGCAAAGAGACCCAATTCGGGGTTCGTTTACCCCCGGCGAACTCTCTGTGACCCTTTGTAGGTTTGTGGCGCAGCGAGTGAAGGCGTCTCAGGCCCATCAGCATGGCCGTCTGGATGCAAAGGGAGGGGCAGGACACATCGATCGGGAGTATCCCGGCGGATGACGTCACCTCGCGGGTCCAAACACTACACACCGGCCACTATTCACCCACGGAAACCCATGGTGGGCCACGTGCACCCATCGCGCCCCATTTACCTCCAGGTTATTCCAGTTTTGTGCATTGATCTTGGCGGCTTCGACGCTCCCTTTTGCTCCCATCTTGAAAGTCCGGTAAAAAAATTTGACACTAAGTGGTGTGGCACAAAGGTTGATACATGTGGGGCGGGCTGTCACGTGCTCCGCACCCTTTGGCACTGCGATATGGTCCGGTGGCCCCCCGGAAAAAGCTCCGTGAATGAGAGGCACGACTCAAAGCGCGACACTTCAGGTCAGACTGACGTTCGAAAGCTCGCCGAAAGAGGCGCTAGAGTCCACGCAAGCGTTGCAGGAGTTCGCCCACTTTGAGGCGAGTAAATAAAGAGGCGAGTAATTGAGTTTGGGGGGAATTTTCGATTGCGAGAGGAGACGAACGATTTTTAATTAATGACTCTTCGGGAATTCAGAGGTGGAATGGTTGAAGGAAGAGTCGGGGAAACACAGAGTGCCAATTACACCAATTGATGTTTACGGGGTATCGATTTATGGGTTATGACGGCATTGCTGACACCTTCGCAGGAAAAAACTTAAGTGGTTCTTCAAATAAGATCTATTTGCTTTTGAACTTATTTCCAACTTTTATTCAAATATTACACTTAATTTAACACTCTGTCTTGGTTAAAAAATACATGACTATAAAACTGCAATGATTCTGAGAACAGTAAGAATCCTGCTAATTGCAATTTACGTCGATTCTTGGTTTTAAATTATAGCTTTGAGATTAATTAGTCACGGATTGAAAATTCTGTAAATTCAAAATGTCTTGAAGACCATACAATAATTATAATTTTAAATAACAAGAATAAATTATTGCAAAATAAATAAATACTTTTAAAATCACTTATATTATGCAGACTTCAAACAAAAAACGCTAACAAAAATATACAGTATGATGAAAAAAAGGCGTCTGTGTTAACCCACACGTTATAAGTGATCTTTTATTAAAGACGAATTCGAAGACCAAAATTGGATTTGTGCTCTTATCAGTAAGATATAGACTTTCAGTTTTAAAATAATTTCATTGTTAAAGTCTAGATTTTGATACTGTTGACGGTGTTCTTAAAAAAAATGTGTAAAAAGTCTATTGAAATAAACTTTATTGAAGATGTTTGGATACCATTTCTTGGCTCCAAAGAAAATTTATCAATGTTGCAACATTGCAAATATCCTAGGATACAGAAAATGTCCAAGTAATTATTGGAAACAGTAGCAACAAAAAAATCAATTTTTAATGTTGTTTGATCTGTGAAATTTGAACAATTAAAGTCAAATAGGTTTCCTAGATACGAAAAATACCTGAGTGAAATAGTTTTTTAGTAAAAGAAATTTGTGCAATATTGCCGCTTTGTGCTGTTAGACAAACTGCTTAAACTTTAAAAAGAATCTATTTAGACTATTTTTGGAATGATGGTGTCACAATGTTTCAATAAAAAAGGACGCGTCTGTTTCAATCGTGGGCGCCTTTTTTTCATCACTCTGTATAAAAAATAATTGATACTACAAAAATATTTAGGTATTTGTGATCCTCAAATTATTATACAGAGTGATTTAAAATACGATGAACAAAACTACAAAATTACTGTGCACACAACAATCAACACAATCACCCAGTATATTTATTGTTTTGATGACACCAACTTTATTGTATATGTTTTTTTACAATTATTTAATAAAGGTACAAAAATTTTGACGATTAAAGCCACAAATAACATTAAACAGAGTTATAATTTAGGATACAGCTTCATTGTTTCTTCTTCTAATAGCTTGTCGCAAAAAAACTTGGAAAATTATTTTTCCAACATAAATAAATAGAGTCAAAGTGCAAAATTTAAACTCACATTAATTTTTATAGATATTTTTTTTAACATTTTTTACGTTTCTGGTATCTTACCTTATAAGCCATTTTTCTCTGGGGCGCGAGTTCTGGCGCACCTGTATATTTTTATATTTAGTAGGTAGTCGCAAATATAAATACGAGTATTATTTACTTAAAATTTAAGCAGTTGACAGCTTATTTCGTCCAAAAACTACCATTTTTTAACTCTAAACAACCATTATCGATGTCTAAAACCAGTCAGAACATCTTAACTGAATCACCCTGTATCTATCTAAAACTAGTATTTCATAACGTGGTTTAAAAGTTTTAATAGTTTCAAAATGTTTTAAAGTTGTTTCAAAATAACTTTAGTTTCAAACTTTTGTTAAACACAATCTAATAGAATTTAAATTATGATTTATTACATTACGTTAAAAATTTAGAAAAATAAAACATAAAACCTAATTTATATTATTAAAT